CATTCAGACGTAGCTTAGTACTGTATAGGAGATGTAGAACCGAAAAAAGCTTTTTATTACATAGCTAGAGCTGCATTTTGAGCTTGGAATGATCCTCCTTCTACTTGCTGTAAGAAATTTCTGTAAGAATCGATCCTCTCCAGCAAAAAACAAATTGAAAAAGTAGAATTCACGGTCCTTTCGTCAGTAAAGTCCTTGCAGAAGGCCATGACGCCATGNGCAGCTATAACGATTTTGAGCAGAGTAATGGATATTTCATCTTAGCCCCTTCACCCCAGTTCAAATCCCACCTACATGGGGTACTTCATCATATTTCTGCTATAGCCTCTCACCACTTTTCTTTCGCGTTCTAGTAGAACATTTAAACAGAGTCCCGAATTTTTGATTTCAGCTCCACCCACCTCATTGCAAACTCCGCCCACTCGGGGGATTCAACTGCTTTTTCCAATAGCCTTCTAGCATTGTTCTAACTACCTTTTTCTGCAACTTAGATCATTCTGAACAATATATTCTCAAAGTATATATGCATATGTAAAGTATTTTTATCGGGATGCACACATCGCCCACTGTAGACGGAGCTTTACTAAGGTTACGCATGCCAAGTACGTATTAAACCTTAGCCACTTCCTTTAGTTTTTTTTTCATCTTTGTTTCTTTTATTTTTTTTTCACTTTCGGTCAATAATTGAAGAACTTCCACTCAAGTTTACCTGATAGCTTCAGTATCAAGTTTTAGGTTGCATGTATTGGCAGTGATGAGACTTTAGATTTAATCCTCGATTCCATCCATCAGGTGAGATTTTTACTCTTTTTAACTCTCTCAATTTTTGGTTAACCCCGCCCCATTTTACGGAAGCACCGCCCATTTTTCCGACAGGAACTTTGCTAGGCCAACCCTATACAAATTCAGGTGATGGCGTTACATTCAAAGATTCGATTGTCGTCCATTCATATAGGAGCTGATGAAGTATTTCAGGTAATTCCTCTTGATTACCAAAAGTGCCCCCAATGTTGCTTCCCAAATCCATTCAGACGTAGCTTAGTACTGTATAGGAGATGTTAGAACCGAAAAAAAGCTTTTTATTACATAGCTAGAGGATCGATGATCCTCTAGCTATGTAATAAAAAGCTGTGATGATGATGATCCTGTCGTCAGTAAAGTCCTTGCAGAAGGCCATGACGCCATGAATGATATGATCCGAAACAAAGAGAACAATTTCGTTTTTGTAGATGGGACAATGCGATGCAGATCGTGAGGTGTTACCAGTTAAATACGGTAATAGTACGAAGCGGTTAGTGTTCGACTACATCCGTACTATCGCCACGAACATCACCAGTACATTCCCAAAAACAAAGGTCAGCTCACTTTGACAGAATTTTATAAAATTTTCCAAAAAAAAGGTCCCCCAAATCTATTTTTTCCGGATATTAATCTGCATTCTTCAACGCTTACGATGGCTACGTTCATCATTAAGGTCCTTATGTGGTTCGATGAGCTGAAATACGTTGAACGATCTCTGGTCAAGGAATATGGACTGGATCGGTTGGTGACGCCAGTAGTATGGAAATACACAGCTGACTTGGAAAAGGTACTATTTCCGATAGTGAACCTCGTCGAACTACTCAACTGTAACTTACTTATAAAAATTTTGATACATAAGATAAAACCCATGCAATTTCAACACATAAAAGTTTAGACTCAAACAAAACCCAAAATATTGGCAATTCCGAGTTAGTATTCCGAAGAAACCCAATACAGTTGATTTCAGGACCTCCCAGCCAAGATGTGGGAGGAGCTGGCGGCATCGTTTTCGACGGTTTGGGGAGGAAGCGCATTCAAAGGTGAGAAGTGAAGCTGTTTACAAAAGCTGTATTAGTTGGAGACAAAATTCAAGCGTAACGGATTCACTTGTGCAACCGATCGTCTGGCATTTCTCAGTAAAGTCCCAGCCCGGCCAATTGAATTTTGGGGATCACCGTAGGTGGTTAGTGCGGCTCCTCCTTCATGGGCGAACGAACGGACTGTTCAACTCTGTCGTTCCTTCTGCTGAAAGGAGCAGTCAGGGGTGTGGGTCTGGTTGCCTGACCTATGAGCATGCTACATATGTCAGATAATGTGGGCGGATTAGGTTAGGAACTGTACCTGAACAGCGAGCGCCCTTCCTTTTTCCAAAGTGTCTTTCAGCGTGGTTTGCATTCTACTACAGTAATAAGTCTGAAAAATACCGTAACTTTAGCTTTTGGAGTTGTTTATCAAGCTCGTAAATAGTTTATCGTTCAAGTTATGTTGACTATCTTCTGAAGATGAATTTACTCAGGTGCTGATGGACCGAATCGGTACTGGAATCGTATGAAGAGTTACGTGCAAAACAATAGGCAATGGTTAGTAAACATAGTTGATTACTAATTTTATTCAAAATTGTTTTGTTCTGCTTTTTACACCATACGAACGAAAAGCGCTTGGTTCCGATCAGTTCCTGGATACGCCATGCACTTTAGCCTCTGCCAGCCTGAGTGGATACGGAGAATAAAAAAACGTTTTCTAGGTGTAGTGAAAGCTTAAGAGGGAATAAGCTGCCTGACAAACATGACATCAGTTACCTGACCCGGGAGGGATGAAAGGCTTACTCGCTGCTTCGGATGGGGTTTGATACGGATTTGAGGGTTGTCGTGGCAGTTCTAGTTACTGGCAGATCAGAACTACTGAGCCACCTCAAACACGCAATGGGTCCTAGTTTGCCTCTCTACTGGTTTCAGGTACCTTCAAGCCGAACAGTATGATGAACTATTTAGCGATTTCCATGGTTTTATTCTTACTGGTTGGCAAAGGTACGCCGATGGTTTTCTTTTGTTCTATTGTTTTTCAAGATGTTTGATACCATTAAACTGGATACACTAGGAAGCCCCGACGATATTTTTTATCATTCATGGTCGACTTGGCTCTTGCTTATTATTATTTTTCCGTGTTCTTACTTTTAGGTATGACCATTTCGCCTCATTGTGCGAGCTGATGCCTGTCTCAATCGCCTCCCTAGCCATCAATCTCAAAATTGTGCGAAATTATGCAGTAACAGGTAATGTATATCGAGGGCTCTAAGATCTATTCGCTGAAAACGAGAAACTAAAAACTTGATTACAAACTTATACTATACGTATAAAGTTGGTTACTTCAAACCTTATTTGCGAGCAGATTCGAATTCACTCTGTCCATAACATTTGTGGTCACGCCCACTAGCACCTGGAACTTCCCAAACGTTACAGTTTCTCTTGCCATTACTTCACATTTCTCTCTTGCAGAAGGGATTTCTAATGAAAACCATTATTTACGATGTAGAGCAGTCCAAACCAATTTCTGGACGGTAAAAAAGGAGCACTCATACAAATGTTTCCCTTATGGGGCATCTGTAGAGCAACATTATTTCCTTTTTTGGTCCTGATTTCATAAACCCTCTACAACAGTCATCTTCAAGTCACTTGAGGTTTCAGATAGCGATGGGGAACAAATACTGCGTATTCTTAAGTGTCCTTCAGAAACAACAATCAGTCAGGTGATCTTCGGTGAAGATAAATGTCACTTTGCAGGCAAGTATGGCCATTCTATACCTTAATAGTTGAGAATTTTGTGCTGTGATACAACGAAGTGGCTTCTCCTACCGGATGGGCTGTGGCACTCCGAATGCAATGAAAACTTCCTTTTTCAGGTTACAAAGTTCGTGATTCCATCAGAGACTTTATGATGGTGAAACAGCAGTACGAAAACGCTTCATGGGTCCATAACAGGTGAGTGACAAGTGTTTTTGCTACATCTTGTAGGTTTAAACGCTCCCCTGAACTACTTGGACATGAGGAGCAGTAGCTCTTGACTCATTTTTCGGTTAGACTGTTGCTTCCTTACCCTTCGATCCGAAAAAATCTCGGATGAGCATTGAACATTTCAGGGAGGCTGCCTACCTTCAACGATCTCAAATTAGGTTGAACGCAAGCAACCCTTTTTATGTAGACGCAATTGGACGATCTTATCAGAAATCTATAACACGGTTGGATAAAATTATGGATCAGCTGAAGTGAGTTGATTTTTCTTAGGTTAGGACTTATTAGAAAGCCTTTAGCTGTCCTCTCACCATCAGACGCATAGTTTTAGACCTGTACTAGTACTAGAATCCCGTAGTGATACTCGAACGTGAGGCATATTACAGAAAAAGAGGGGCTGAGCAACTACAAAAGACATCAGACGAGGTCCCACAGAGGCTTTAAACTCTAAAACCGATAGTCCTCATTTGCGGATAGGCTTATGGCACTGACTACTCACCAATGGAAGTTGGGCTTGGGTTTCTCGGTTACGCTCCCGATGCTAGCATTACCACAAAATTCGTGACGATAGGACTGGCTTATTGTGCTGCTATTGAAATCATTATGCTTTTGGTTTACAGATCGTCTATGAACGATATCTTCTTCAAAGATGTGTACGTCGAATTTACAACTGACTACATTTTGCCGTTCTATGATGAGCTTAAACAAAGGTTCGTTCAAGCCAAGATTCAGTAGAGCTCATCTTCTCCAGCCAGTGAGCGACAATTGTGAGCACAGATTGACATGTCGAAGAACCATGCTGAGATTAAACACTTATGAATGGCTTAAAGGCACAGTTCACGATAGAAATGATTTTTGAGCTTTCCCCACAAGATAAATTTGAAGTCCCATCGTATACCATATCTGGAACTGTCATGTCGGGAAACGGCCTAGTTAGGGCGTTATAAAGGCTTAAACATTGTACCGTGTGTATCCTCGGACGGGTTTCACCGGCATTGCAGAGGCTGCACAATTCACAAGGGAACCCATGTAGGAGAATCAAGCAACTTGTTATGACCCATAGCGACAGTGAATGGCAGTTCTGTACAGTTCTATCTTGTTGTAGTCAACTCTTTGCGACTGACGACTGAGATCAACAACTGAAATCTCGTCCGAAAACCCCTCCCATGTTATTCCCATCATGATAATCTCGTCCAACCTCTGTCTTCTCCACTTTTGAGGAACCTTATGATTCTCGAAATAGGCGAATTTTCTCGCTTTCTTCACTACCAATGAACTATCCCCAGCCTGTACTTCCGTTTTTTGAAAAAAAAAGTGTTATCTCAAAATTATCGTGGACTGTGCCTTTAAACATGCTTCGTAAGTTAGTGGCAACTAGTAAATAGTTAAACCTCAGCATGGAAGCTGTGACCAGTCGATATTCAAAAAAACAGCAGAGCAGGATAAGCAGGTTCGCGCGCCTTGAAGGTGCCAGATATTCACGTAAGATAAAAGAACTTGTGGTACAGTAAACTGAGAGTGGGTCCTTGCTTGAGTGCCTCCTCGTAACGCAACACCCACGAAGCAACCCTACTCCAACCCTGCCTTCTCTCGTTCTTCAAATGTATTTACATATGTGTATGGGATTTTTTGACTTTTAGGTGGTTCTCCTACTCCACAGTGAGATTACTGTACCACAATTTTTTGAAAAAATGCTTTATCATCATTCATGTGATATTTCAATCAACAGTGGCGTTGACGCCTACGGAACCCAGATTGTTCCATCGTGTCAGGAGCCTTTATCATCACCCTTAACGAAATAAAGGGTCTTGGCACGATGAGCTGACCCATTTTTGTCGAGCATTTCCAGTCACTGTGAAACCGCAATATCAATCTCGCTGTAGCACAGGGGATGGAGCTTGAGAAAATATTCTTCTAGACAACAGGTACAGTATCCGTAAAGTTTCAGGGGTAGGTCCTAATTCAAATTTTTTGCAAAGAGAAAATTCAGCTGCCTCGCAAGCAACTCTTTTGTCCGACAAACGAATTTTCTGGCATTTCCGTGCGGAAAGCCGTGAGGGATTCGTTCTGTCCTTTGAAAGAAACCCCTGCAAGGTACGGGAAGTTCACACCTTGGCCTAACCGCAGGCTCACGAGCGCTATGGCATTCAGGAACGCGATACTGTCTCAGCGGGCAACCATTTTTCGTTGTAAATGTTAACCCATTTTTGAAATCCTATCTTCCAGGCTGAACAGTGTGGCAGCTATCGATGCTCAGCGGACATACAGGGCTCGGCCATGGTTCCGACGATGACGTTTCCTCGAACATTCTGTTTAGTTGTTGATAAATTTGTACATATGAATAAGTCTAATGAATATAATTGACACCTTGAAGAGTTACTCAGTTGAATAGACATTAATGCAGCATGTATACGCTCCTTGACCGCACGCCCGATTACCACGTATTACGGCCATGACTCCACTGGTCTATTTCAAGGATGTGGAAAGATGAATTGCGCAGATGCTGATTATGAAATACAATTTGAAAACAAAAACAAAGTAATCATCCGTATAAAAAGCTCCATCATTTGCAAAAAGTTTCATTTTTCACCTACGAATGGGTGTCGAACTCAGCATAAAACCTCCAGTCTGCGATATTACCGTCGCGGGCGGTACGAAGAAGTATAAACTCATTAATCATTGTGCCCTAATGCTAGCCTACAGGGTGGGTCCTCCTTGGAACATCCATATCAGTATTATGTACGAGTTGTAATTGCTTTGTTCAGATTATTATAAATCCTGGATCTAATTATTCAGTACCAGAGAATCAATTGTGTGGTTTTATACAAATCGGATACCAGGTTGATATCGATATAACAAGAAAGGTAAGGATAGGATTCCGGGATCAGCAGAGAGCTCTGCCTCCAAAGTAGCCTTTGAGCACTGACTTAACTGGAGGAGTAACGAGTTCAAGGATTAGAGTAGAGTCAGAGGGCGGGTATTGTAAGTATGGCTATTGATTGAAAGCGGCAAGTGGCCTTACGGAGTATACTACGTGGATGAGTAGTTTCTTTCAGAAAGCACCACCCAGAGCAGACAAACTTGTCGTTCAGTACGCATCAGTAGGCCAAGAAGCACGTGACCCGAGAAAACCATTTGAAAGTGGAAAACCCGTTGGAGAAATCACCGGCGAAACAGTGATGAAGCTGATTGCCGTTGAGTAATGATGGCGGAAGGCGTGGTGATCAAAAAATCACTCAGACACACTACATATACTTATCGATCCATCGCCATTTATCCATACTGCATGATAAAGTGTGTTTTGAAATTCACCGTTACACCATTGGCATGATGGGTGAGCTGCTTTGGCATCACTGCAGCTCGTGACTACATGATTGTAGATTTTGGCGCGTAAAATCGATATCTATCCTTGAAACGAGGATGCTGACAAGGCAAGATGCGGATAACAAGAAACTCAAAGCTTGCCGAACTCACTGTCACAAGAGATAGCCCAACAGAAGAGAGGTTCAGGTTACAACTAGAACCATATTTCGTGATTAGCAACGATTAGCAACTGAGTTGCCTAGACTACCTCCATCTTCGGAAGCGCCACACAGCGGTCAGAATTCTCTTCGGGGATGTGTTGCCATGTAAAAGGGTGTCTGGGGTACGAAATGAATCATGAAGGCCAGTAGATGTGTCCTGTCCTTCCACACAAGGAAGATGCTTCATAGCCACCCTTAAACCCTTGAACAGATCGAAATTTAGCTCTAGTGGCTTTCGATGTGAAGTTTGACTTCCAAATTTCGTGAGTTAAAAGAAAGACACCTTGTTTAACTCGAGATAGGTCCACTAACTAGTAGATAAAACTAGTTATCCACATTTGTGATAGGGCAGGCATAGCTGACAAAAGCTCCCCTTCAAAGGCGTATCCAACGCAACCGAGGCCTTCGCCTCATGCAATCAACATCGAAGAAAGTAGTCAATAACCCATGAAAGTTATAGAAGGTTTTATTATGAATAATATCCTTAAAAGCCTTTTCATAAAATTCCAGTCGTTTTTCTGTGGAGACGATTCTAATGTCTTTCCTGAAGCACCACGCAAAAGTCTTGTGCTCGTACTGTACCGCCGAATTTCTTCACAGTTGATGGTCGTTGATTTCCATGGGTGGATACCTGAATTTCCCTCTATCACCATGACTTTATGAGCTCAATTGTGCAAGCTGATTAGCCACCTCAGTAAGCTCTCCTCAACTTCTACATGGGACAGAAAAATGATAAGAAACATCTTTAAAACTGGACTCGGGACCGTGAACCTTCTGTAGAGGTTCACAGCTGCTGAGTGAATCGCTAACCTCAAATTTATTGAAAAAGTTGGCGAGGAACAGGAACAGTTCCATTCGTGCTAAGCCTTCACCGAGACACTGTCTCTTGCCCATAGAAAATGGAACCATTTCATCGATTCGTACAAAAGTTCCATTTTCAGTTAAATGCCGTCGTGGATCAAAATCGTACGGATGGGGGAAGACCTGGAAATCGAGACTTTGCGATCATTTAATAACTCTCATAGCTCACTCGGATAGAATTCTTCCAGAAAGTTGATTTCTCGTGTAAGAAGGCTGAACTTGGAGGTCCAAAATGACCCCTTCGGAAGAATCCTGCAATTTAAAATAAACCTGTGAGCCTTACCTTTTCATCATACAATACAGAAGAGATCTGTGGTAGAAAGAGGGTCCCTGATGGGATATGATAGCCGTCGATTTCGACGTCACATGTGGTCTCGTGGAGAACGTTCATTGGCAAAAGGTTAGCGAGTCGTTGCACCTCCTGATCATGGTAGGTAAAGAGTTTCGGAAAATCGGTCTTTCTTTTTAAATGAAATTGAACTGACTAACATCGATTACAGCATTCATATAGTGCAATTTGCTTCGGTCAGCATTCGTTATTAAACGGTCAGAACCAATTACAGTATCCATTTCTCGATGTATCGACTTTTGTACTTCATCATGCAGTAACACATACAGTACTCCCCAGTACAGAGTGTTCGACGTTGTCTCCATTCCAGCTATCCACATATCGAGACATGCGTTTCGAAGTTGTGCCTGACTGGATCTTTGAGTCATTAAAAGACAAGGTATAGAGCATTGCCAAGTACCCCTACCCCCCAGCTTAGAAATGCATTCAGACGACAGAAAGATTCCGAACGGAAACGAGTGCGTGGTGCTAGCTGATCAAAGGTGACTAGGGTTTGCTCCTTTTGGGAATTCCCGATCCCACAGATCGCTAACCGGGTCGCACCACCTGGATTTACCCACCCGTGTCAATGTACATATGCTGNTATCAGCCCGGCTAGCGGGCTCTTTTCCTCAAATTTTCATGGCAAGCGGCAGTGGTTCTGCAGCGGCTACCGTATCCCTCCCCTGGAAATCCACACGTTCCCTCTTCATAGCGCGCGACTGCTAGCGATCGGATGCGGCAAATGCGACGCGATTTCCGGGGACAAGTACCTACACCCCTCAACGGAGCGACCGCGTAACAACAGAGCCCCGAATGAGCACAGTGATGTATCAGATCCTACCAGATATTTGTAATTCAAATTAAATGCAGCTTTAAGTGAGTTGAAAATGAAAATATCGCCAAAATTGCATAAGGAGTGTACTCACGTGAATCCCCCATTTTCTGGCTCCTTCTCCAATCGTTTTTGTTCTTTCAGATATGCTTCGACGTAATCAGTACTTTTCTCACTATCAAAATCGATTTCTGCTTTGTGGATTTCTATTTGTTCGTCAAACATACGAAACAGTTCTCCACTTTGTTTTTGAACTTCTGAAAAACAAATCCTAAAACAAAAATGTCGTGTATTTGGCCTCTGCTATCAAAAACATGAAGCCAAACGGTTACCTAAGTATTAATTAGCGATTTTCTCTTCCAGAACCAAATTCAACACCTACTACCGTCTATAAAATCAAGAGAAGACTTAGCGGAGCGAACAAAGAGGGAAAGGTAGATTCCGTACTAGAATTTTGTTTTGATAGTAGCTTATCGGAGAGTTGAGCAGATCCGAAGAATTCCACCACTCTACAGGAACGACGGCCCACCACTTGGCCCATCGAGTAAAGCTCAGGCACACTGCCCTACCATAAGCCGCAAGGACTCATTAATAGCTAAATAGGAGTTTACAACTAAGAGTCTAATCCTTCCTACGAGTTATTTCATCATATGTTGTTGGAGTAGGTTACTATTCGATGGATCAAGTGCTTTTTTTCCAATAAATAAACAAATAAATAAGTTCAAAATTAAACGTATGAATATATAAAGGCAATATATGTAAAAAGGAAAAATAAAAAGTGTGAGTATAAAATCCATGCTGCCAAGAACATACCTTTGCCGTACGTTTTGAAAAATGGAAATACCTCCAACCATGGAAATAGCATATACACCACGAAAAGTGGGCGAGCACTGATTTCCATTATTCGAACGAGCACAGCTTTCAAACGATAAAATTGATCAATATTGCTCTAAAATAGGTCTTTTCACTAAAAAGTCCCTATAGCGACTAAATAATTAGAGTAATTATTAATTTCCCATGAAAAACTATCTTCTGGAATTTTTTTTTCAAATACTGTTTCAAAGTTAGCTGACTATTGATCAATATCGATGAGTGATACAAAGGAAGGGTAAATTATAAGGTCTTCGGTGTAATTACTCTTTTTTTGGGATGCGCCCCGCCCTCGGCTTCAATTCAGAATCGTAGTGGTGGTTGAAAGGCGTATGTGGCTTATACAAAGAATTGCGGTTTCTCGAAGATGTACATGTCAGTGATTCTTCCCTCCTAGACAAATTTGGTACTAATTAGCCGACCCTGAATCGATGGAAGGCCCGGTTGGCTTAGGCGGGTATGGATCTGGGATTCGATCCCACAATCAGGAGGATGTTTACCCTAAAATTCCATAGACTAGAGCAGTTTAATTCACCGATGAAAAATGAATTGGAATGGAATTGAAAATTTAATGCAGTCACCTTCTAACTTGATGGATGGATAAATAAAAACCGAAGAAGATGTTAAGAAGAAGCCCCGCCCCTCGACTCTAAACCCCGCCCACTTAATAAGCAATTCATATAGAAAAATAGCGATTTTAACGGATTTTAGCGGATCGCTATTTTTCTACATGAATTGTTTATTAAGTGGGCGGGGTTTAGAGTTGAGGGCGGAGCTTCTTCTTAACTTTTTCTTCGGTTTTTATTTATCCATCCATCAAGTTAGAGGGTGACTGCGTTCAATTTCAATTTTATTCCAATTCATTTTTCACCGGAAATTAAACCGCTCTTATCTATGGAATTTTAGGGTATGTGTTGTTTCGCCCTTGGCATTCACCATCTTTCCTTAGGAGGATGACTCATATGTGAAAATCGAATGCATTTACAAAAATCAGGGCTGACTGTATTCCGAAGAAATTTCAAAAAAAAAATATTCATAAAATCCGATATTGTGATCCGAAGAGTAGGTTTACCTACTTCGTCAAATCGGAACCCGAAAAGTAAGCCATTTATGATCGAGCCAACAGCGCTGTCTATGTGATCCCTGAGATCTAGCGGTTGACACTGATTTTTTTGGCATTTCCCCAAGAAATCGTTCACTTCTTCAAGGACCTGAACAGCAGTGCACAATTTTCTGAAAGAATAGAACTTGAGAATCTTCAGTGATCTTACTCTTTCCTGCATAATATCCTTTCCCATGCCGAAATCCCTGAAAACATGTAAAGCAAACCGTCGTTGCTGTTGCCATAGCTCACCACTTGTCCCAATTATACCATAATCACCACCTAGGAAAGGCTCATTCATTCTACAGACATTTCATAAAAAGGTGCTCTGCAATGGAGAACAGAAGGGGTAGGGCCTAGTAAAGCGGATGTGGAAAGGGTCGCAAAGTATAAACACCATGCAGGCAGAAAGAACGAAGTTATACCACAAAAAACGGAAAAATCGAAAAAAATACCCAGACCTCAGTATTATACCATAATCACCACCTAGGAAAGGCTCATTCATTCTACAGACATTTCATAAAAAGCTGCTCTGCAGTGGAGAACACAAGGGATAGGGCCTAGTGAAGCGGGTGATGAAAGAGTCGCAAAGTATAAACGCCATGCTGGCAGAAAGAACGAAGTTATACCATAAAAAACGGAAAAATCGAAAAAAATACCCAGACCTCAGTTAGAACTCGTCACCCACCTCTCACGATCTTATCAAGGGGTGTAGTCTGACGCCCGCTGTAGGCAGCACCATTTTTGACCAACGTCTGTTTCATTAACTCATAGTCAGCTACCACTATAGCAGGTCGATCAGCCAACCAGAACGTGAAGCATCGGCCATATTTTTCCTTCCACAAACGAAACGCCTCATAACCAGGTTCGTAGAAGTATAGAGTGTGGAGGTTACCGATGAACGGTAGAGGAATAGGGCCTGAAATTTTTGAAGGACGTTTTTGCAGAAGAAAATGTACGTCGTAAATGTTTCAAGGATGAATTTGGAAGCACATGTCGCTCAGGTAGAGTGGGAGGGGCGATCTAGGTCTGAGGGCGTGGCCCTGATTGGTCTGGTCTCTTAGGACCACTCCAGTCGCCCCGCCCGCCCAGTCTGTCACGCCTACCTCTGCAGCTGACAGCTGTTAATATTCAGTATGGCCTATCGGGACGGATGTTTTAAGCCATAAATGTGCCAATGTAATATCTTCAACAACAGTCAGGATCTTTTTATATTTGAAAGTTCTGCAAAGAAATCAACGAACCAGGTGGTAGATTCCTTCGCTTCCAGTAGATATGATAGAATATAAAAATAGCTGAGAGAACGGCAATAAGAAGTAATAGCATAGAAAAAGTGCTCGTAAAGAGTTGGGACGATGCCGAAGTTGCGCTCTGTCAACAAAGTCGAAAACTGGTCGTCGCCAACCGAATGATAAGGAGAACAGTCATGGAAACCGTGTGAAACTCTCCACAATCTGGTCATAAATCACAAAATTCTGCCAAAAAAATTGTTACCCAAACACAATCCCAAAAGACCCATTTCAGAGAATTTCAATTCCGTCACATACAGCTTGTATGGATGTGGAGTGCGCCGCGCCCTCGGCACTTTCCTGCATACTTTGACATTTCTGATGCCGTAAACAATCTACAGGAACCTCATTTCAGTGGAAACAGAAGATGGGAGTTTGTCTCCTCAGAGTGTGGACAGGTAGGCCGACTCATTGGAACAACAGCTCCTTTTATAATAAGGGAATGATTTTTCAACCGTCCGTCAACCATTGACCATCACCCATACTAATTTAGCAGCTCTTTAGATGGCTATAAAACTACGTTACCTGCCAATTTGCAATTATTAACTTATAGAGCCAACTTAACAACAGCTGCTTCTACCAAGGCGTAATTTTCTCGATGTTGTCTGCAATCGCACGCTCTACACCCAACAAGTTTCCTGTTCGTAATCCACTTGAGCTTTTATTTCTTCATGTATTGTGTATTTGCTTTTTGTATTATTAAAAAGGTTTCCGCAGTTATCCTTTTATCTCAGTTTGTAGGCTGTAATTGTATGCCTTGTTGTGGACATTAGGCCAGTACTTTTTTGTAAACTAATTAAATCCGTTGGTATCCACATTTTTCCACTGAGAACTCGTGCTCCTTCATGTAATCCTCCTTTGACTTGAACAGGTTACGTTACAAAACATTTAAGGGCTATGCTCAGGACGCTTCAAAGGGTATTGAGAGCGCAAATTCGAAATGTTGCCACCGCAAAGGAGACAGGTGAGTAATGAAGTTCCCATGCTTCAGGACCGATGAGTTTCTTATCTTTATTCATTCCAAATTAAGTTATTTAGCAGTGTCTCTGTCGTCAAAATCCGAGATCACTAGCGAACTATTCGATGATGTGCTAAATCGAGTGAATCAGCATGATAGGACAATTGAAAAGATCCTTATCACCTTTCAAGACAAGAATGGGGATAAGAAAGAGTTTTTAATGAATAAAAATATTTCCACGCCTTATCACTGCCTTAAACGTAAGTGTTGTATTTAATATCTGGTTTTTTCAGACCAGTTCGATTTATTTTTTATAGACCAGTTCGAGAGTTTTCGTTTTTCAGATGTAAATATGCTACTCGCAAAAAAAGCTGTTCTGGCGATTGTTTCCTATCCAAACAAAGACGCTCAAATAGAAAGCATGAATGAACCATTCCTTGATGAGTGCCAATTCGAAGTTGCCGACTTCCAAACGGAGCAATATGCTCAACTTGTGAATCAGGTAGTCCACGAAGTTCCTTATGAATTTTGATTACCACCTTCACCACCTTCCTTCACCATTAGAATTCAATGATTTGTAAATGAATTCATTCTGAGAGCTTCAATCTTTCTCTATTTAGACATATTGGCGTTCGTGCAGTATTCTACTGGCAGCGGCCCTGAAGAAGGGTTTGAAAGATAATATAGCGATTTCAAGGCTGCATGCCGAAGGTTAGTAAATTCACATCGGTAATGTTTGGCTTTTTCTTCTACAAAACTCAAGCTATGCTTGTTCTTTTGAAAACATAAATTCTTTTTTGGGCCTTGCTCCCAATTGCCAATGTTTCACCATATTCATTCGATGTTATATCGTTCTTCTAATATTCTGATGAATTCCTCCCCTTTTCAGTGCCTCAATCATTTTTTGCTGCGGACATCGAAAATTTGACAAGTGAACTTTCGCCGGTACGATACATTATATGACTTCGTTACCAACGCTTTTTCTTCCATATAAAGGCTTTTGCCTCATCTCTCTTTGTATGATCCTCACTAATTTTAGAAATATCAAAAAATTTAGCGATACACTTCAGATAACATCTTACCTTAAGGTTACCTGCTAGGTGGTCCTTTCCTTTTCAGACTGATCTAATCGATTTATCTATATTTATCCGTGAAGATTTCATCGGGCAGAATATTCCATTTGAAACGGTAACGCTACCATCGGACATGGCTGCTGATTATGGTTTTGATTCCAGGTAGAATTTTCATAATGCTTCTTCTCTCAAAATCATGATTATTTATTATTATGGACTTTAATGGATTAAATGGATTCCGTACAAAGAGACCATTTCAGCCTGCGTTTGTGTCGGTTGCGTGACTATGTAACAGCAGTTGATGGCCCTGTGATTTCTCGATCGGACCAAATTGGCCGGTTTAGAATTGTAAAGGTGGATTATTGATTATTAACTTGTTCGATTATGGGTTTTGTTATTATCCCTATCAATATCAATTGCTTCCCAATGTATACTGGCCAACATTGGCAAGATAGCATGTACTTCCGATGTAATTAAGCAGTAATTATATGTTATCTGAATTTTATCCTTTACTGTGGTCTTTTATTTTGCCAAAGCTATTCTAACTAGTAAGTTCTGAACAGGCTGTATCGAAAGAAGGTTTCACTCGTGTGGGAGGCGTTTCACTGCCATCAGCGTTGAAGTGTTCGTCGTTCGCATGGGAAGCGATAGTGGAGAATGCTAGCGATGTGAGTGACATCAGTTATCCCTTCATCGTTTCTCTTTACATCTGCTTCATTTTCAGAAGATAACGTGAACCTTCAATTGCAAAAGATATGGATCATTAGTGTATGGAAATAGGATTGTTTTTGTTATAATAAAGTTTTATTTGACTTGGTGACTATTTACTACATCGAAGGCTAGAGCGTGTCAGTCTCTCAATAGATGCATTCGTTTACAATGGCTGAACCTACTTTCTGAGTGTTTAATCGAGTTCGAAGTTGGATCAGTCATTTTAACTCTAATTATTCCTCCGTAGTATTCTTCACTTGATTTTCTCCGATATCGCCAAGAAAAAGCGGAAGTTGACCCATCGCTATCATGGGGAGAGAGTTTATTCAGGAGATGTGTCCAAATAATCCTTAAAGAGTGTAAAAGGTGGGTTAGATTTCATCCAGAACTCTTCTTTTGATTATGACCCGTTCTAATAAATGGCACTCTTACTCACTTTCTCCAGAGCCGTACCCAGTCCTAGGATCTACAAATCACTCTGGACTGGATAGAATCCAATCTTTCAACCATCTAATTAAGGTGAACATTGGATCGGTGCACATTCTATTTGATTCACGGTAAATGGTGATCATTCCAGCGAATGATCATAGTTGACAGCTCGAAATAAAACCGTTTATTATAAAATCTCTGTATAATTGATCTGGCTAGTGATAACTAAAACTGGTCGGTTGTTCACAGATCGTCGTCGTCAGTATCGCCTTTTCGAGGTAGCATACGTTTCTTATCTCCATTCAGTTCGCAGGTCATATGTGATAATCGTGTGCGACGAAATCTCCTTAAACTAGGAGGATTATGTGATGGGAACCTTATAAGGAGGTCGTAAGGATTCGAAATACGGTAACAACCAACCGCATGCATCGTCGACATGATCCTTTTACAAAGTAGAAGAGTATCAGGGAAATAAATGCGCTAACCACACCGATTGCAGCTGGAACCACCACGTTACGATGATAAGGGGTGTTCTGAAAAGTTGGGTGTTACTTACTGAAATTTTGCTAGATCTATCAGATAACGACTTAATTTCTTACCATCCAATCATCAAATTCTTTTCTTAGGGTTTCATAGCTTTCACGAAGGTAGATAATCTCGCGTTGGATTGATCCACGCAGTCCGGTATATGTGGCTTCAGTGTCATTTGAGAGATTGGTACTAGAAAATGCTTATCTTACTGCTTACAAAGACGGGAAAGCAGGCAATCAGAAGTGCGGTAGTGGCACAGGAACGTGTGGCACCGCTATAGTATAACAGGTTCGACGATCAATTCCACTAGGATGAACTCAAGCTATCGTTGATCAAGGAACAACTAGCTAGTACCCGAGAGTTCGAACTCCAAGTACGCTGCGTATATGGAAAAGTGGAGACTTTAGAACAGGGATTTGGAAAGCCTAACCCACGAAATCCCTTAGCACAGGTATTTTAGTTGAAACTATTCGGTTATCCGATTAAAGTCCCTTTGCCTACTGGGCTTCCACTCAGAAACACCTATTGAACTAAGTCTAGATTAGCTTCCAAGACTTCCGTGATCGGGAATTTGACGCTACAGGTGAGTCCGCTACCGTCTTCTAAGCCCTGAGGGACCTAGAGATTGGCTCATATTTTTTATGAGTTGATCCTAAATTCTGTGGTCATGGCACAACCTCTGCTCGAATCAGGCAGTAAAGGAGTACAGTCAGCTACAGTAGAGTACTAATAAAAGTATGTCACCCGCAAAAATGGATTTTTGGACTTTCCCTTCACAGCTTTGCCAAAAATTTACGTATAAATAATGCAAAATTTGGAAATTACGGTTGAAAGAGCTGTCCGACATGATCGACATCGGGTAGAAAATCATATTGTACAAAATCAATCAGCCTTTAGGTCCTACGACTGTGGATTTGTGATATGAAATCCCTACAATTACCAAAGCTACCACAAACACGAAATTATTTTAGCAAGGGGGAGCCAAAATCTCCGAATCCCCAAACATGTTGAGAAGCTCACCTCTCGGTCGATGTGGAAGTAGCGATGACTGGTTGAGGTGGTGCTATGCTCGAGAGACGGACGCTAGTAGTTTGCAAGACAGTAGTAGTAGTAGTACTGGGAAGGCCAGTGGTAGTTGGAAGGACCGTAACGATAGGAGCACTGGACACAAGAGTGAACGTTAAGAAAGCGTAAAGCAGTAACACCATCCTGAATCAATTTAGAAAAAATTTAAAAATTCGACATCAGTTTAGAAATGAACTTACGGCATTGGGAACATTCAGGTGGAATTTCAAGGGAAAAATCATCATGAAAGGAAAAGTCTGAATCATTCTCTGAGAAGATTGCTCAGTACTACAAAGGGATGGCCAGTGTTGTAGGGTACCTGTTGCGAAGAATTCAACAAACCAACGTGGCCCATGCGGGAAAAAAATAGGTGGTAATGGGGTTCACGATGGGCAGATTCTCCCGCGCGTTCTCCCTGATTGATCAGGACCTACCAGGATGGTCAACGTTCACTACTGAATTCATTTCAACCTTATAATTTCTTTGAGTTCAAAATAATTTAAATATTTATAATAAGAAAGACAGCACAGCGAAACATCATGACTGCAACGTCACGTAGTACTCGGATCAGATGGCAAATTTCAATGAAAGATACATTTAATGAAAGTCCGTCTTCTGTTTCAAAAAATCAATACATCAACAAATAGTTAAAAATAAAAAATCTATGTACAATAGAAGAATCATAACAGAATTCCGTAAAAACATTATGGCTTATACACAAGAGATCTATTTTCCACTACCCAAGAACTTGTTGAGGAATCCTTGAGCGAATTCGCCACCAACCAGGCGATTAATTTGGCTCAGAATGACGAGAGGATTCTGAAGTGTAAAAACTCATTATAAGAATTCAGAAAATTAGAATGCTTTCAGAAATCCTGAATAGGCCTGATAGATAGGGAACACCAGAAAATCCCCAGACGTCTTCTCACTGATGATTCATGAAATAGGTGGAAAATCAAAGGGTATGGCTGTAGGGAATGAAATTCGTGAGAATCGTTAGGTCCCCTATCCATACAAGTGAATTAGTTTGGTATGTCAGGACCTGTCCCTTATCGGGAGAAGGAACGAAGAGCGGAGGAGCAGTGTTTAAGCTCATATCCCCCAGAGCTTTACAGCCTCACCCCCACGAAGGTGTCGAGCCCCTGGCATCCGACCAGAGCCGAGATTTTCAAAGAGCTTACAAAAATTCCAAGTTCTCGCATGAAATTGTACCTGATCGACGAGTCCTGAGACTTCCTCGCAACGTTTCATGGCCCTTTGCAATTGTGCACCGATCTGTAGAGACTCGAGGATATCACAGTTTGATATGGCTCGTCGAAGGGCACCACATTGCTGTCGTTCTGCTCCACGTCGGCACGTTTCTTGACTAAAATTTCAGTATGTCCAGCGAACCCTATTTGGAACAGCGGTAAAGCAGTAGTGAGAGGCGCCGTTACTGCCAAAATCATGACTTTAGAGTTCAATTCCTTGGATCGAGCTTGTGAAGCCTACTGAAATCCAATAAGGCAACAATGCAATTTGGAATTAGATTTTATCGCGGTCTACCTTACTTTCAAAAGTGAAGAAGATGGGGAGACGGGCAGTAGGAACGGTTTTGTGTAATCGATCCGCCGCACGCGGCTGTCGCGGACCATTTGCCTCGCCATAACAGTTCTATCGTTCTTCATACAGCTCAATCGCTATGCGATTATCATTTATGGCATGATTCTACTGCTAGTTTTTTTGTTCCTGAACTTCTTATTTGCTGCTGCGTTCTGCTACTTTCATTCGCGCGCGGCGTCTCTCTCGCCTCGACGCGACAATTTCGTTCCTACTGCACCACACCCAAGGAGATGTACGGTGTGCTATCATTTCCTCAGAATTTTGTTTTGAAAACGGTTTTTCTACTTACCTAGCTTTGAGTAAATCGATTTTGCCCGTTAGAATAGCACTTTTCAATTCGTCACCCCAAGCATCGAAAGCTTTCTCGTCGGCAACCTGCTGGCAGTTACCGTAAGCGACTTGCATGACTTCAGATAAAAATGGTAGGCATCCTGAAATAAAATGGAATTTTTTTGGGGAAGTAGCATGTCTGGATAACTGCTTCATGTATTTTTTGTTTACGAGTGGCAACTAGACAACCTCGGCAAATCTGAGAGGAAATCGAAAGCATGGCGTGCCCCGTTACCTATATGATCCTCGTTATTATCCAGTTAATGCCTCTCAAATAAATTGATAATGACAGCTAGCTCACCTGGTCCTTTACGTATGCCGAAGTTTTCCTTAGCACCGGGCACGTAATCTCGGATACCGCCAAAGTCAGGAAGTCCGTCTGAAAAAGCAGGAAATCCGTTCTCTTTCTGAAGATGGTCGCGATAGAATCGTTCTGGCAGGGCGCACCTGTCGATGGCTGAGCCTTTCGCGACCTCTTTCATGCGAGAATTATTCCTGCGAAGTTTCACAGCCTTTTCTTGGCTTCAGTTGATTCAAAGCTGTGAAACCTCGAAGGAATAATAATTGCATTGAACAGGGAATTCATCGAATTCTTTCAGAGTTCTGGCTCTTCTCATGTGGGCCCCGTTGCTTTCCACAGGACCACATTGTTTTACAAATTCTGCTGTCACTTTAGAAAGTTCTAGAAAGCAAAGCTCCCATGCATGAAGCTCAAAAAAATTGAAACTGGAAAATTAGGAAAAAAATAAAATATACCTGAGTCGGTTCTTACTGTTCCAGAGGGCTGACTCGAATCCCCTGTTGCTCCTGAATTGAAACAAAATTTCATTGAAAATGAGTGAAGCATGCTAAGGTTTGGCTTAATAAGTAGTTTAAGCAGTAAGTAAATAAGTAGTTTGTGTAGTAGGTATGTAGTTAGATGCTGTATAAGATTGAGTCGACCTACCTCTCAAAAAAGTGGAAGCCAGCCGGAGCAGAGGATTGTCTTCTAACGCATTGTTTGACTTTGCATTGACTGGCTGCAGTGGACGAATCGTATCACCGACGGACTGAATGGATGGAAATTATAGAAATAAGCCAAAAATATCCAAAAACTGGTAAGGTTAGAAACTAAAGAATAAGTTGGTAGGGACTCGGAGGCTTCGTGAGATATAAACAGAAGAATGTGACGTATCACAAGTCTCCAAGAGCTCACTGCTGTTTAGTTCACTCTATTCGGTTACCTAAGTGTCATAGGGAGGTTAACGTTGAAACAAACAACAAA